AACCAAAGAGCTTGCAACACCTAAGGCAAGTGGAACACAACATTCAGACCCAGCCAAGAAGACAACCAGCAACAACTTGTAAGCTCCATAGACCAAGCAACTTTTGAAACCAAAGCCACTGCTCTAACTTCGGATCATCAACTGGAACAACAAACCCAAACAAACCAAACATGAAACAGCAAACCAACAAACGCGAAGACATTCGAAACCCAAGGCCGATCACGATGAGACACTGTGCAGAGCTCACCAAAAGCAACCAAGGCCAACATGGAAAACAGCAAACCAACACAAGCCAACATGCCGAAACAACCAAACCAAGCACCACCTGGACAGAATCATCAACATGAATCAACAACCAACACAAAACAAATTCAGACCTGCAACATGAATCATCAACATGGAAACAACAAACCAACACAACCAAGAGATGAAACCAAGTCCGAGAGAACAAATTCAGACTCACCAAAAGCCAACCAAGGCCAATATGGAAACAGCAAACCAACACAACCAAGAGATGAAACCAAGGCCGAGAGAACAAATTCAGACTCACCAAAAGCCAACCAAGGCCAGCATGGAAACAGCAAACCAACACAACCAACAAGGAAACAACAAACCAACACAACCAAGAGATGAAACCAAGGCCGAGAGAACAAATTCAGACTCACCAAAAGCCAACCAAGGCCAGCATGGAAACAGCAAACCAACACAACCAACATGGAAACAACAAAGCTAGTTCAACTGGACATGAATCTGAAACATGGAAACAGCAAACCAAGGCCAAGTGGAACACAAATTCAGACTCGCCAATATTAATATCATCTTCATTAGCAACAAACCAAACAACCAACATGGAACCCCACTTGTAAACCTGTCAAACAACCACAGGCCAACACAACCACGGAAGCTGCACAAAAACTGAGCTCAAAAGGGCCAAACAAGCCAAGATGGAAAGCAAACCAAAGCTCATAAGAAAGTATAGAAAATGTGCTCAGAAAAGGCTCTTTTCTTCATTATATGCCTCGCCATGAAGTTTATAATAGCAATGTTGGCTGCATATACTGCCTCGCCAATTGATTACTAGTATAAACTTTAGCTGCATATCGTCAACAATGAAGCCCATCATCATAACACATAAAATGCATACCTCTTATCCGCTAACTCAGCGAGGGGAAATCATTATAGAACCCCACTTGTAAACCTGTCAAACAAGTTTGCATTAGCATACCAAGTTTATAATTTAACTTGTAAAGCCACGACTGAAATGCATGAAAATAGAGGTAGTAGCATTAGTTTTGTACTAATGTAAGTTTAATACATGTACCATAGTTGTGTTTGCAAAATGATGAGCACTCATCTAGCAACATGAACATCCAAAAATAATTACACTCATTTACATACAAAAATAATTATACTAGCATTGTTACAATTAGCTAGTTTCACAAAAATATCCCAAAAGCATCGTAATCCGAGCAAAGGCCAACATTCTAATCAAGAGGTTGACTCTTCATGAACTCAGTCAACGCCTTCTTTTGCATAATAGTTGGCCTCCCCATAAACAACCTAGCTTGTGATTCATTCTCATGCAATTGTTGATAAAACTTATCAAGAAGTTCTATGTCAAATTCATCATGTGCAAATATAGCTTGTGCCAACTTCTCGGTCCAATGCATACTCACCATGCGCATAGATGAGGTGAATTGTTTTACCTCATTTACTATCTCACGCATAAGCACCGTGTCCTCACTAAACCTAGGCTCCTTTCCTTTACGTTTCTTTGACCCGTCATTTTTAGCTTTGTTCACACTAGAAGATGGATTGGATTTTGAGGGCATAGTTGGACCCTTCGGTGGTGGAATATCATCTTCATCTATATCAACATAGCTAGGTGTGTTCTCCTTTGGCATACTAATATCATCATCATCATCACCAATATTAAAATGTGCACTACCACCAAATTGTGACAACACATCTACCGCATAATCTCCTCTAGCAACATCGTCTCCAATAATAGTTGCGAGGTCTTCATAATGTTTCATGGGCTTGTTGATGTATTCCCTAAGTTTAGAACTATTCATACTCTTATCCTGCATAGTTTAATGCATATATCAAAAACATATAGGACAACATTGAACAAAATTAGAAATATTTGTTAAGATATGAACACTAGAAAATTGTAAATACCTCTAGCCATCTATCAAAGCAAGCTTCATCCATAATCACCATCTTCTTTGCATCATCCCATCCGGCACCGCTCAAGTCACGACATTTTTGCATGTCCAAGAATCTATTACGAATAGTTCTCATACGATTTTCCACATTCTCGGAAGTGAACGTTGAACCTAATTGTTCATTTATATGAAAGGCGGCGCTATGATAAGCGGTTTTTTTGAACCTCTTATCCGCTTTCAATCCATCCCTAGCACATTTTGCAAGGAAAGGAATTAACAAATCATCATGTTTACTCTCCCACAATATGTTAACTCTCCTCTTGCAAGCCTCTTTCTTCTTGGATTTACTTGCAATAGCTTTCTTTTTCCTCTTTGGATTAGGGGATGAACTTTCATCACCATCAATATCATTAGCACTCCTCTTGTTGCTTTGACATTGTTGAATAGGTGACGGAGTTTCACCCACGCTATAACTTTGACGTTGTAAACTTGGAGGAGCATTTAGCATGTTCATGAATGACATTGTAGGTTGTTGGCCAATTCCCCAAAAGTTAGCATCTTGCATTTGCAAATTATTCCAAAAATTAGGACCTTGGCCAACTTGTGAAGAGTGATAAGGCATAAAGCCCGGGTTAAACCCACAAGGGAATGATGAATTCCTTGGGGTTCGAGGCGATGAATTGGATGTCGTACTCTTGCCTTTGACCTTATCAAGTTCCTCACAATTGAAGTTGTCGGCCATACCTAGAAAATAGTTATAGAGAAATACGAAAAAAATATACGTAAGTTGAGTAAATAAAGTGTGTCCTAAGAGAATTACATACAACACATAATAGTAGCATACAAATGCTTCGCCAATTAACATTCTATAGTTTTACACATGCTAACATAATATGAAGTACATGAAAATAGAATAATTCAAAACATGAGACAACATCCCTAGCACATTGCATCACATGCCTATTTCATTAGTATTCCCTCCCTTATACTTATCACAATAATCAACCCACATTTCCCAAGCTATTTGATCTCTACGATTCTTCCATACGTTTCTTGATTCTGCTTGCTCCCTTTGAGTTTGGGGTTGAGAGAAATCAACAATATTATTATCATCTTCATTAGCAACTTCACCTTCATCATCTTCGATCTCAACGGTCTCATTGAATATGTCATCATCCGGGTCAACCATTGCAATATAATTGTGAAGAACTGCACAAGCTAATACAATATCCACTTGCGCGCGAAAAGGGTAATGAGGTTTCGCGGTGAGAATTTTGAAACGATTCTTCAAGCAACCAAATGTAGATTCAATCTTAGACCTTAAAGAAGAATGTCTAAGATTGAATAATTCCCTTCTATTTTTAGGTGTTCTTCCTATTTGTTCCTTCAAATGGTAACGAACACCACGATATGGGGAGATAAAACCCGGCATGGTCGTGTATCCCGCATCACACAAGTAATACTTTCCTACAAATGCATGATGTGAAAATGTTTAGTAGAATTTTTTGTCAATTCATTGAATAAACCAATATTAATTAAAGTTACAATTGAATCTTTTTTTTAAATTAAATGAACATGCTTTTAATCACAAATTAAAGAGAGAATACCTTGAAATAAGGATAGTATAGAGGGTTGCTAAGGATCTCCTGTGGAACTTCATTCCGTGCTTGTCTTAAAAAGCGTGGTCGTATGTGGCAAATAGCTTCTAACACTTTGTTGAAATACCTACTCACAGTCTCGCCAGATCTAATGAAATGTGACCTAATACTTCGATTTTTAGTTTTATGCCCCAAAATATTCAAAGTCATAGCAAGTTGCTCCTCCACTGTAACATGTCTTGAGTCTCGTAATAAATCGTTGCTCCTCAATATCTCTGCAAGCTTCATAAAAGCACCACTTCGCATTCTAACATAGTTGACACAACTATCACTAAATCCATTATATATGCGATCCAGGTGTTGTTTTCTATTTTGATATTGTATTATTTTCTCTTCACTAGGACCTGCACGTATAGATCTACGTCTACTTTGCATTCTCCTCATGAATACCATAACCATAACCAAGACAGATAGTACAGCACCGAACACATATTAACTACGGTTTCTTCATCGAGATCACCATCCATCTAAAATACAAACGTCATATTAAAGCAGATAGTAACAGTAAATGAAGATGGTTGTCTAATTATATTGCTAAGGTCCTACTTGCAAAATAAAAACATGTGTTGATTGAGGCATTAAAAGAGACGAGCTTTCATGATTTTGTCACACGTAATCATAAGTATCCTAACCAGACTACACTACTCAATTTCCCATGATATATCCATTTAACCATATATATCATAATATGATATACCATTTCATATTTGACAAGTTCAAGATGTGCATAACATGATTTGAATATCAAGATACCAAATAACAAGATACCAAACAAAGAAATCAAACAAATGATCAGGTCTATCTATCCATCACATAATTCACAAATCAACATGGTAGATGTTCCTTTGCAAAACTTAATTTCCCACACCCTTCAAAGTATGTCAGGTATCATTTTTTCCTTTTCTTAACGAAATCAATAAGTAAGTGTGAGTCCCTGTTCTTCTTTTCCCCTTTTCTTTACATGACAGAGATATGGTAATGATCTTATTGATCTTAAACCTGATATGATCTCCGAACCCGAGCAAAGATCCTGAACTAAAACCCTAGCTCAAAAATATACTTGGGTTTAGGGTTTTTTACCTGAGTAGCGCCCAATTTTCTCAAGAACAGCGATCGTCAGGCCAAATCCCCAAATCAACCAGGCGATCGAGAGCTGAATCGTCAGGCCAAATCGTCAGGCCAAAACCTCAAGAACAGCGATCGAGAGCTGAATCGTCAGGCCAAATCGTCAGGCCAAAACCTCAAGAACAGCGATCGAGAGCTGAAGGAGCAAACAGCCATGCGAAGAGCAGGTGGCGGGAGAAGATGGAGGGAAGGAACGGCGCGGTGATCAGAAACCTAGGGTGAAAGGGGAGGGGAGGGGGGGGAAACGAGATTTGATCACTTTCCACCAAAATCGGGGTTTTTGGAACGGAAATGATCTTTCAGCAAATCGCCACTTTCAGCCCCATTTTCATTCGCCGCTCAAAACGAACCAAACAACCGTAAATGAAGAAAACTGACAGTTTTTTCGTCGTCAGTTTTCAAAACAGCCCCTTTACGACACTTTCAGCTCAAATTTGAGCGAAACAAATAGCCCCTTAGAGCATCTCCAATAATGATCCTAGTTTTTCTCTATATTTGAGGAGCAAATATTCAATTCTAGGAAATAGGGAGTCAAATATGGAGCAAGTGCTCCAACAATGCTCTCGAAAGGCTTTCTAAATAGTTTTGGACATTTTTCACTTGCTTTCTTTTGTAATAAATATTTGTAACGGCTATATTCCAACGACTAAATTGTAACGGCTATATTCCAACGATTAAATTGTAACGTCTATATTTCAAAGGTTATATCATAACGGACATATGACCTCTATAAATAATATCATAGCACTCTCATTTTTCACTCAACTCAAATTGTGTTCATTGTTAGCATCATTTTTCTAATATCATCTATATCTCATAACAACGAAATAGCTGAGCTCCTCATGGAAGAAGAAGCTGACGAGGAATACACAATGTTCTTAGGAATGACTGTCGTTGAAGAGGAGCGGGTGGCTAACGAGAGGAGTACATCGCGTCGTCTTGGTTCCGTTCGAGGCCATGTTGTCATTCAACGTGATAGAGTTCAAGATCATAATAGACTTTATCGTGACTATTTCTCTGAGGAGCCTGTTTATGGTCCACGACTATTTTGAAGACGGTTTCGAATGCATCGTCCACTTTTCCTCCGAATTGCATCCGTGGTGAAAGATTTTGATCCTTTGTCCAAAGAAGGAATGCTACAGGTAATCTTGGTTTATCATCCCTTCAAAAAATAACAGCCGCAATGCGGATGTTTGCTTATGGAGTATTTGCAGAATTTGTGGATGACTACGTGCGGATTGGTGAAAGCACGACTATTGAAAGTGTTAAAAGGTTTGTCAAGGTCGTTGTTGCAATTTTCGCCTATGAGTATTTGAGGTCACCAAACAATGGCGATATCAGAAGATTGCTAGAGATTGGTGAACAACGCGGATTTCCTGGAATGTTAGGGAACATAGACTGTATGCATTGGAGATGGAAGAATTGTCCGGCTACGTGGCATGGGGTGTATGCTGGTCACGTCCATGAGCCAACAATTATTTTGGAAGCTGTTACGTCATACGATCTTTGGATATGACATGCATTTTTTGGGTTACCAGGATCTCATAATGATATTAACGTCTTGGAAAGGTCAAATCTCTTTACTGAACTTACTGAAGGTCGTGCCCCTCCAGTTAAATACTCTATTATGGAAAGGTCAAATCTCTTTACTGAACTTACTGAAGGTCGTGCCCCTCCAGTTAAATACTCTATTAATTTGCATGAGTATACGATGAGATATTACATTGCTGATGGTATATACCCACAATGGTCAACATTTGTAAAAACAATTTCTGCTCCACAAGTAAATAAGAGGAAAATTTTTGCACAAGCTCAAGAATCAGCAAGAAAGGATGTAGAGCGAGCATTTGGGGGTCCTCCAAGCACGCTTTGCAATTGTGCGTGGACCAGCGCGATTTTGGGATCAAGAAGTACTAAAAGATATTATGAAAGCATGTATTATAATGCATAATATGATCATTGAAGACGAGCGAGATATTAATCAATGCGATTTCAACTATGATGCAATCGATGAAAGTCCAACTATATCATTGTCTCGTGAGCGCACACCACAATTTCTTGAAATTATTCAAGCCCATCATCGCATTAGAGACAGACAAACACATTCTCAACTTCAGGCAGATCTTATTGAGCATTTGTGGCAACATCATGGTAGAGACTAGGAAGCATTGTGTATTTTCAATATTATTATTGTATTTTCTATTTAGATTTGTGTTTGCAGCTATATTAATGTATTTTATATTATTATACTATGCTATTGTATTTTTTGTCAAGACTTAATGTAGATTTGTGTTTGCAATCAATGATATGTCCAAAAAATAACAAAAATGATAACATAATTTTTTTAATTCAATACACATAATAACATAAGCTTACTTATTGAAAATGATACATAACAACATAAAAACACACATAGTGAAAATAGCACAGCTTACAACATAATACTTATTAAACAATGACAACTAATTAAAACTACCATCAATTCCTTTAACAATGATTCGCATCTTGAGTTGTTTGTAATATTCTGCTTGCATCGAATCCATGTTACTAGTATCAATTGACATGATTCTTTCATCTTCTCTTTGTTGTTCCAATCGAAGTTTTTCTTTCTTAATAAGAATCTTCTCTTGTTCTTGAGCATATATTCTGTCAAGTTGTTCTTGTCTCTTCTGATTGTTCACATCAAGCTTTTCAACGAACTCTTCAAATTTCAATGCCATAGGCATACTCGTATCAAATGCACGTTTTCCCTTTCCCTTTCTTAACAGTTCCTTTGTAGCTTTTATTCCTATTGGTCTTTCCAATCCTTCGGAAAAGGTATCACGAGCAATATCATCTTCTTCCAAATTTATTGTATCTGGACTTGAAGGAATGGAACAGGAAGGACTAGAACTTGCATGACCAGATTTGTTTGGAGTTTTAGATTTTTTTAGAACTATCAATTCTCCACTTTGGTGCTTCTTTTAATTCTCTCCAACAATGAAGAAATTGAAATGGATGCTTTTGGATGCTCGTGTATAATTCCACTGCTTGACATACCTATTTAGAAATTAAAAATCCTACTTAAAAATTATTATACGTAAATACGATATTAAAATTTTTGAATGAAATTAATACCTTATCGCACTCACTAATACCACTTTATTGCCTTGCTGAAATTTGAGCATAGTAGCCACAAAATTTATTTACAGAAAGTTGAATTAACGACCAACGCTTCATTAAAGAAGTTGCCGTCCGTTGAGATTCACAATTCTTGAATTGATGGAAGTAACCATGCACCCTTTGCCAATATCTTTCATTTTTTGATTGATCCCTTGCACTGCATCCGTGCTTATGTTGAGCCATGCAGATACAAGTGGAATGTCTTCTTCCACGGTGAAGTTTTTCATCCGTCCGGTTTTTCTAGAAAATTTATTTTTAGTTGACTCAACTGGCATGACAAATTGACTGGGATTTTCATCTAGTAGACCACTATCAGACAATGATCCTTCATTTAGTAGAGAAATGTAATAATCCATCTGTCCAAAAATAATACAAATTAATGTCAACACTATAATTAGTTTAAAAAATTAAAAATGAAATGAAAACTAATAACTCCGCTGCCTGAGATCAATTACCGACGAGCTCCTTCTCGGAACCTCCCCCGTTCAACAAAGGGCAGCGGCGTCATCCAGGCATTCTCCTCCTCTCAGGCAGCGGCATCCAGGCAGCGGCGTCCAACCCTCAGGCAGCGGCGTCCAACCCTCAGGCAGCGGCGTCCAGCGGCATTAAATAATTGTAAAATTAGTGAGTGAAAAATAACTTGGCCTTCAAATATTTAAACTATTGTAGTTTTTTAATATGCGTCACGTGCAACGCACGTATAGCATACTAGTAATAGTTAAAACCATATATACGGTCCTTCGTGAGATTATAATGACCATAGATTATTCTTTTCCTTTTAAACTTAGTCCCTTAATCTTTCATACTTCGAATTAGCCCCTCAAATCTTTAAATTAGTATTAGGTTCCATTCTTAATGATTTTCAAAATTAGTCCCTTAAATAATTAAAATTACAACAAGGTCCCTTTATTCTTAATGAGTTGTCTTAAATTAATCATTCCGATTGCTACTAATTAAGAAAGATAAATTAGAATAAATAACATTGTATTACATTTGTTATCTGATAAATTAGAATAAATTAATCATTCCGATTGCGACAATTAATCATTTCGATTGCTACTAGTTAGGAAAGCTTCATTGTCGCAAGTGACCAAAAGGGCATCCTGTATTACAATATAACATAACAATTAGCATGCCTCCCCCCCAAGATTCAGTGGTTCTCCCCTCAGTCCCGTCCCTCCCTCGCCCCCCTCCTTTGGCGCCGCAGAAGGTGTTTGTCCGCTGCCCTCTCAAGGGACTTGACGGATGTACGGCAGGGGGTTCTGAGGGTAGAGGGCTCACCCCTGCGTATTTGGTTGTTCACTTACGCAAACAACATCTCAATTCGGAGTCTAAGGTCGAGGAATGCAAGGGGCTGTTACGCCGTGACATTACCATTTTCAACTCATTTGAGGCCACACTACGAGCTATGGGGCAATGGATGTGTGGTACGTGCTTGAGGATTCATGCTCTTAGTAAACATTGTAAGCATGACAGGGGAGTGTCTGTCCCACCACCTTCAGAGGATGGCGAGGGAAATGTGGGGTGCACCATTGTGGATATCCCTCGGCCTAGTACCCCTCCTATCCTCGAGTCTGTATCACATATCCCTTCTTTGGGTCCACAACATTGCAAGCTCGACAGCGGTACAGTTGCAAGAGTGTTTAACTGGGGTTTTCGAACAGTTAAAAGTGTCCCCCCATCTTGTAGGTTAGCGTTCTCGGCTGCCCTCAAAGCCTCGCTCTCCGGGGTGAAAAATCTAAACTATGAACAAGAAATAAATCTAACTACAAAGAATTAAAATCTACACTACAAAATAAATTGCAAAATTTAAATGCAAGAAAATAAATCTACTTTACAAATTAAAGTACAAAAAGAAATAAAATATAAGAAAATAAATCTATACTACAAGCATGAATGTAAATCTAACTAATAAGCAATAATAAAGAAATTACTAAAAAGAAATGACACGTCAGTCCCTTGAGGACAAGCACCCTTCGGCGCCTCCACCGGTGTTGCCTGCTTTGGGGTATGACCAAGAGCCGCTCTCTGTGGATTGCGGGGAGGTTCTCCATTGCTTGCGGTCCTTCCCTAAGGGGACCTCTTGCGGCCGTGATGGCCTTCGAGCCCAACATTTGTTAGATGCTCTATGTGGTCCGGAGTCCACTATTGCTAAAGACCTTCTCGCGTCTCTCACTCCAGTGGTTAATTTGTGGTTGCAAGGGCATTGTCCGGCATCATTGGCGGAGTTTATTGCTAGTGCTCCTCTCACTCCGCTGTTGAAGGGTGATGGGGGCATAAGGCCGATTGCGGTAGGTGCCATTTGGAGGCGTCTCGTCTCTAAAGTGGTCATGAAGAAGGTGGGGACGGACATGGCGAGTTATTTGGGCGACTTTTAGTTTGGGGTAGGAGTCTCAGGAGGGGCGGAAGCAGTTTTGCATGCGGTTAATAGGTACGTTGGTGTCCATCATGCGGATGATTCGCTCTCCATGCTTTTGGTTGACTTCCGCAATGCATTTAATTTGGTGGACAGGAGTAGCATGTTACGGGAAGTGCGCCTTAAGTGTTCAGCGATCTCTCCTTGGGTGGAATTTCTCTATGTGCAGCCCGCTAGACTGTACTTGGGGGCGGATTTTATCTGGTCTGCTCGGGGGATTCAACAGGGGGATCCATTAGGGCCTCTGTTGTTCGCCCTCATGCTTCACCCGTTGATTCTACGAGTGCAGGAAGAGTGCAAGCTGGCTCTTCAAGCTTGGTACTTGGACAATGGGTCATTGGTCGGGGATACTTTGGAGATTGCTAAGGCATATAAGGTGATCGAGACTGAAGGCCCAAGGCTCGGGTTGGACCTCAATGTCACCAAAACTGAATTATTCTGGCCCTCCCAGGATCCTAGGAGTTTGCTGGAGGGGCTTTTTCCCTTGGATATCAGTCGGCCTCGCGATGGGGTGAGGCTTTTAGGTGGAGCGGTTAGCATGGAGGATGAGTTTGTTGGTGGGTTAGCAGCCAAAAGGGTGGCTAAGGCGACTCAGTTAATGGAAGCATTGGACCAACTTAGGGATCCTCAGTGCGAGCTTGTCCTTTTGAGGGCTTGTGCGGGCTTGTCCAAGCTGTATTTTGCCTTGAGGACTTGTCCGCCATAGCTGTTTGCTAAGGCAGCGACTCAGTTTAATATGGCGCTTCGGAGGTCTGTCGAGAGCATAGTCACATCCGAAGGCCCAGGCTTCGGGGATCTCCAATGGAGGCTAGCCACTTTACCTATCAAGGCTGGCGGGCTGGGGGTATACGCAGCGGCCGATGCCATACAGTTTGCTTTTGTGGCCTCACGGATTCACTCCATCGAGCTCCAAGACCACATTTTGAGAGGTTGTGGCGAGGTCTCTTTAGGCGAGCACTTTATTTCCGCCCGGGCCTTTCTTCAGGCTAAGCTACCGGAGGTTGACCTTCTTCAAATCACCACTAAAGGGTCTGTCCCCCCAAAACCAATGCATTACTTGGCAGACACCTTTTTTGGTGGTATTTGTAGAGATCTAGCGACGGAGTTTGATCTATCAGAGAGGCAGGTGGCTATTGTTGGGTGCCTGCGGGCAAAGCACGCCCAGGATTTCTTATTGGCCACGCCTATTGAGGGATTGGGGCAACGTATGACACCGGGGGAGTACCAGGCCATTCTCAGGTACAGGTTGTTGGTTCCTTTGTTCGTGGAGGGGACTATGTGCCCAGTTTGTCGTAGGGCGCAGATGGATGCTTTTGGAGAGCATCCCATCCACTGTCAGAAGCAGCCAGGTGTTCACTGTTGGGCATGCAGTGGATAAGGCGGCAGAGGCGAAGGGGGGCAAACATGATCAAGCTTGCAAGGACAACCAACACAGTTTCATCCCGTTCGCGTTCGATACGTTTGGTTTTCTTACAGCTGATGCGGTGGAATTCCTTAGGAGGGTAAAAAAATTTATGAACAAGAATGTGGCGACGGCGGGATCAGCTGAGTATGTGTTTCGTAGGCTGGGTTTTGCAATACAGA